ACTTCAGTGGGGCAGGACTGGGTCCTATGACCACATGATGATGTTTAATCCAGCGTTGATACGTCAGCTCCGAGTACTCTTACTGACACCTAAAATACCAGGACCAGCACATCTGGCAGCTGTAGCTTCACATCTGCTGTAGAAAGTCACTGAAGCCATTCCCCCGTATCGAATAGTTCTAGTTGTAAATCCAAATGGTGATGACACCGCTGTCTTTAAGAAACCATCAATTGCCCATTATATCTTGGATCTGTTCCCCTAATTTATTTGGCCATGTCACATCCATACACAGTAAACCTTCTCTTTGTGAACTGTGTGCAAAGTGTCCATGGATGAAACTGTGACAGAATTTGATTCTGCTTGGAAAAGGCCTTTTGGTTTTAAATTCTCTATGAGTGTTAGTTTGTAAACTTGCAAACCCTCCCATGAGTCATATATGGGGTGTGCAATATTTATGGCAAATGCTTATTACTACAGCTTATTAAATAGAACATACTGTGATAGATTGATCTCATCCCATCATAAAACCTACTACCAGTATGTAGAAGTCACTTATTGTGCTGGCTTCTAAGTTGCCGTTAGACTATCCATCAGTGCTATCAGCTGTTGACATTTTCTCCGAATTGTGATTGTTTCAATAATAACCAGATGATTTGTCTGACTTAGTTCATTAGTTAATCTACATAACAAGTGCCAGCAGTTTTAAAGAGCATAACATGCATATTAGGCAACAAATCAATTGAGAATAAAAATGCCGATCATGATGCACAAAATGTGATGTCTGCTACTTTTTGATGTTCGTTTTCCTGTTACGTTGAAAGCATTGCAATGTTGTGAGTAATCATGAATAATGTGAATCATAGTGATACTGATACCATAAGCAAAATGGCCGTGTTTGAATGTTATAGGCAGAATATTGGCATGCCTGACACATGTAGAACAACGAATCACCCGTGTGTCAGCCGAAGAACTCTGTTGATGCGTGTGCAGCAGTGTAACATTTTTCTTCCTCCTGGCAGTACCACGATAGACTTAAAGACATATGGGCAAATACTATAAATTGTGCTAACTGAAGCCATTCGACAGGAGCAGCAATGCATCGCTTCACAAATGCTATTACCCAATGGCAATTTGTATGATATTTTGTTGAACAGTTTTAAAGATTTTGAGTTTAATAATAAAAATAAAAGATGTACAAATGAGTGTCGTTTTGTAGTCCAGGGGGTGCTCAGTTCTTGATGGGGCACTGTGAGATTAAAAATCCTGGCCCACATTTTTAAAAACGGGTCCTTGTTCCAAGTGCACCATAAGAATAACATTTAGCAGAACATGTGTGTCACACGATGACCCGGTCACCCCCCCTTTTGCCTGAGAGGCGGGTCGACCCTCCCCTGATTATAGCCCGCGTTGGCAGGGTGAGGGGTCCGGGCCCACCCTCTCTCCGGACCCCGACCCAGGGCCCTAACGCCAGGAGGAACCCTCCTGGCGGTAACAGGTGGGGGTGTATCCCAAAACACGCCTGTTCCCGGATTCCACGGCCCGCCCTGGGTCTTGTTCACCCCACCGCGCCCTTATCGGCCGACCTCTTGGGTCTCCCTTGCCTCCTCCTCATCTCTCCTGGCGCCTTCCCCCACACTTCCCCTCTCGTCCGTCCCAAAGTCCTTTTTATCTGTCCGCTCGTCAGTGCCGCCGGACGCCCTCATTTCCGGGTGCCCCTCCCTGCTCCGCGCGGGCGCGCCTCTGACGTCGGCGCTCTCCGCCGGCGCATTTTGCTGACGTGCCTGTGCTTTAGCTCCGGGGCCCGGGGCGGCTGCGGCCACGGCTCCGGTTCCGTCACCGTCAGCCGCGGCTCGTGGCATTTGCAAGTGGCGGGGTTGCTTCACCCCGTCACAATGTGCATGTCTAACTTAGGCACCTAATTCTGAAATTCTTACCCCCAAATAAATATATCAATCAGATCCCTTCATGATACCATGAGTTAGTAAAACTGTAAGCATTTTAAGTCTTCTTTCTCTTCACTGGCTCTTTTCATTGAAATATACAATTACTACAGTAGGCTTTATAAAACCTGTCTAAACACAATCTATTTCTTGGGCTAAAAGGATTTTTCTGGGTCCCTTTAATCTCACTTTTATGAATACTGCCATTCTGACACTTAGATAAATGCACACAAAATTTTGCATGATACAGATTTTGCTAAGTTCTATATGATAGAGCCTGAAGTACATACAAACATGCAAGGAGAAAGGAGTCTCTTGCACACATCTAAAAATCAAAGGTAGCAGTGTGAAGTACGCTATGGGTCTCAGTCCAGTTGCCATTGGATTGGTATCTGCACCACCATGACTGGCACCCTCTTTTGGCCAAGTCTCAGCAAACTAAGGCAGGCCCTCAAGCACATGAAGAATGTAGTACTGTCTCCTCCACGGTAGGTGGGATGATG